TATGACTCCCTCATGGAAACCTAGATATCAATCAAGACAGCATTGTGAGCAGCAGACCAAGTGGCCATGCCCCACTGGTGGTATTTTCATGCTAGAGATGCCAGAACAGATGGTGGTCTTCGGGTAGGAGGCCCATAGAACACAGACAGCAGTGTCCCTATAAAGCATTGCCATTAAGAACGTTGCCGAGCATACTGATACAGGGACTTTCCCAGACGTATTTGGACAAAATTACGGCTTCTCCTCAGGAATCTGACAGCAATTACGTCCAGATACGAGTCAAAAAAGTCCTAGTGATGACAGAGCAGAGTCCATCGTCGCACATAGAACACAGACAGCAGTGTCCCTACAAAGCATTGTCATTAAGAACGTCTCTGAGCATACTGACACTGAAGACTTTCTCAGATGTATTTGGACAAAATTACGGCTTCTCCTGCATGAATCTGACAAACAATTACGTCCAGATACGAGTCAAAAAAGTCCTAGTGTTCAGTATGCCCTCTGTCACAGAGCTTGCTTCTTTCACTAATTACATCCTCCCTTGGGCGTCCTCGTCGTCACAAACAGTTGTTGCTATCGCTGTACTGAGATATTGCGCATTTTGACATCATTTTGTGTTTAAAAAAAAGAAAAAAGAAAAGAGATCGCGGCAGATAAGCACAAGAGTCCATGTGTTCAAATTTCCAGTGTTACTTTTAAAAAAAGTATTTCAAGTCCGAGGACTGAGCCCTCACAGGGCCCCGACAGACATACGATCGTTCTAGGCTGTGGGGCCCTAGCAAGCATTGTGCCCGCCCTAGTTGAAGGTGGGCCTGAATATCCACCAGAGGCCTGTTTACGACATTTTCAATACGTGGGTACTCCGACAGTTGCAGCATGCCAGTTGGTTACAGGGAAACGTGAACCTCCAGGCTCTTTCCAGCAACAAGGGCTGNCAGCATGCCAGTTGGTTACAGGGAAACGTGAACCTCCAGGCTCTTTCCAGCAACAAGGGCTGCGCTGTACAGTTGAGCCCAGGGCTGGGTGGTTGTGCCCTGGGCACACGCAGTGTGAGGCCGACACATCACGCAGCGGCCACGGACAAATGAGAAAGCAGCATTGTCGTCACACAGTCTCCGCGAGCCAATGAGAATGCGGCCAACACTTGAAGCCTGGACAGCTACCTGCAGGTGCCCAACCAAAAAGGGCCCAGGCCCTTAACTGTAGAAGCTGGCCTGGGTGCAGATACTGGGGCCCGACTGGAAGCTACTGGAAACTTCCCCAGCAAGGCCCACGCAGACACAGCAGGGGCTGCACTTTCCATAAAGGAAAGAGGCCAGCCCAGAGGAGAGCATTCTGGCCTAGGCAGGCAACGCGGACACGCTGCTGCGTTGCCGCACAAGTGTCTGCATGGGCACTGCTGGTCGGACGTGCGCACGGGCGCATTGGTGAGAGGGGCGCTGCTGAGGCAGCGGGCGCACAGCAGCCATAGCCGGGCAGCGGGGGCGCAAGGCAGCTGATGGCGATGGTGGTCTTCGGGTAGGAGGCACACAGAGGGGATCCAACGGGTGATGAGGGGAGGAGAGAGAACGCACCTGTAGTATGCTGGTGGTTGGCATTGTTGTTGACATCACGTACATTGGTCTTCGACTTCAGAGTGGTCCAGTTGCAAGAACGTCGATAGGCTAGATAGGCTGAGTAGGATAGGCTGGGCGCTGGGCGCCAGACATTAAGTACGACATAGGATTCAGTGTTGGTGTGGCCAGAGAGCGTCGACATTGGCATACGAGTTCATCGTATTGCTCTTATTTGGACGATATCCTGGTGCATTGCTCTCTGTGCTTGGTTCTTAACTATCTGAGCTTCTTCGTGATTTTGCAACTTGGTTTTCTGTCTATCGCTCTCGCTCATATTCCTTGCACAAGTTTTTTAACTTTTTTTTTTTTTTTCCTGGACTACCAACCAGGCCGCCCGATTTGAACATGGTTGGCTGGGTGGCCGGGCCGGGCATGGGCCAGGGATGGTCCCTGCAAAAAAAAAAACGAAAAAAGTTAAAAAAACCATGTTATGCAGAAAAATAAACTGAACAGCTTTTGCTTCAGGGTCAAATCGAAATTCTTTACCATGGCTACGCCGTACCCGGACCTGGACAGCACATGTCCGGGGACCGGACGCGTGTCCGGTCGTGTCCGGTCAGGTCCGGACGTCCGCACTTCCAGACACATTCGGACCTCCGGGCATGCATGGTTCCGGACGGTCCGGACCAGTAAGCAGGTCCGGAAATGTCCGGACCATTAAAAAAAAAATAAAAAAATCTGAAAAAAAAAGTATGTTATGCAGAATAACAATGCAAACCACTTTTGCCTCAGAGTCATGTCAAAATTCCTAACCAAACTTGAGATAAAAGTCAAAAACTATAAAAATCTTAAAAAAAGACCTTTTAAAGTTAAAACTAATAAAAGGTTATGAATTATTAATAATTAAGAAATTGGGGGTGTCTAATAAATTATTATATAGAGAGAGCATGTCCGGACCCCCCAAAAAAGCATAAACGGGCCTGAAAACCCCACAAAACAATTTTGGGGCTTGGCTCCTCAATGGGGAAGGGTCCTGGACCCTTTTTTTTTCCCCTCGAAATTTGGCAGATCCGGACCTTCCAGACCGAATGTCTGGAGTCCGGACTGAGTCCAGACCGTCTGGACGGCGCTCCGTACGTCCGGATCGTAGCCATGTTCTTTACCAAAAGAAATATGTATATATATTCTCTTTGTTGTCATTGACTCGTTGTTACACTTTTCAAAGTGGTCCCAGGCCACTTTTTCTCAATAAAAAAAAAGAGGGTTACGCGCCCCAAGTTGACACTAGTTCCCTAACATTATTGTATCCATCCTATTTTAACAGCATTCAAATTGCAAGGTCATGACCTGTCGATCAGCACTTAGGGCATGCTCACACTGGGACTTTTTTCTACTCAGCTCTGGATGTAATTGCAGTCAAATACATCCAGGACGAGCCGTCCGAAATCCTAGAGCGAGTACCCTATTACTTGTATGTACCATTCAGCCACCAGGATTGGGTACGCTGAACTGTATTCTCTTTCTCTCGGCATTTGTTTCTCAATTTGTGTGCATTGCAGCTGTGTGCGGGCGGTTCTAATCTTTTTTTCTTTTTTTGGCCCCATACCCACCCCGCCTTCTCCATCTCCCCTTGCCTGCACTAATCTTCTTTCCCATCTGTTGTATTCTAGGCTACCAGAGTGGCCCGGAGCAACTTGCCCGGCCGGGTCAAAAAAAGAAAAGAAAAAAATATATTTTTATATTTAAATTTTAAATTTATTTAAAATCTGGTAAATAATTTCGATGTGACCCTGAGGCAAAAGTTGTTCAGTTTATTTTTCTGCATCACTGCCATCACATAGTTTTTTTAACTCTTTTCCAGTTTTTTTCTTCTTCTTCTTCTTATTATTATTATTATTTTGCTGGGCCCTTCCGTGGTCCTTGCACGGGCAGGATGCCCGGTCAAACAAGGTGACCCGGGCGGCCCGGCTGGTAGCCCAGGTTGTATTCCAATTTTCCTTTCTTTTTTTTTTTTTTTTTTTTTTTTCCGACCATTTCTCGGCTCATGCGTGTCATCATTGCACAGGGGCCATTTTGCTAATCTTCCTTCCCTGTATCCTTCCAATTTTAACAGATGTCCCCAAGGACTTGTATTCCAATTTTCCAATTTTCCAATTTCCCAATTTCCCAATTTTCTAATATTAATGGACTCCCACAGCACAGTGCGGGTGTGAAAACTATTGAAGTTACAAAGTCAATTTCTCAACTGTTTATATTATTATAATTTATAAGTTATAACCATAATAAATAACTAAAAAAAAAAAAAACTGAAAAAAAACTTGAAAGTTGAAACGAAGGGGAAAAAAAAAAAAACAWAAAAAAAGAAAAAAAACACTAAACGGAAGATACTAACACGATAGCAATGTCTGACACATCACACTCTACCAAGCTGCTCTCTTAGGGCATACTGAGTGTATCTGACTGCAACTGTGGTCATATTCTGTTAAAAAAGTATAACTGTGAGCATGGCCTTAAGTGTATCTGACCGCAATTGCGGTCATATTCTGTTCAGAAAGTATAACTGTGAGCATGGCTTTAAAATTTAAGTGGTTGAAGATCAACACGTTCTGTCAATCAGCAAATTCTGACCACAGGTCCACAACCAGATTATCATTATTACACTCCCGCGGCTCCAAATTTCCAAAATGAATAAAGCAAAAACAACCCGGAAATCCCAGGCCTTGTCTACAAAAACAGGGCGGGGGGACCACAACCACATTATCATTATTACACTCTCGGGGCTCCGGATTTCCAAAATGAATAAAGCAAAAAAACTTAAAAAAATAAAAATAAAAACGGACATTTCAGGACTTGTGTACAAAAACAGGGTGGAGTCAATCGAGGGCTTAAAACCAGCCCAAAGACGCTCCAGGGCAGAGAGTTTTATTACATACAGAAAACAGACGCAAAGGCCATCAATAAATAGCCAGCTCTGTGCAATCAAAAATCCAATCTCCCACCCCCTCCCTCCCCTCCCTTTGCCCCCTGATCACTCTTCTCTCTCTGTATCTGCCTATCACGCTGTCAACCTCTCTCTCCCTAGCGCCACATCAACCACTCTGCCTCTCTTGTGTGGCTCTACCCATCTGCTCTCCTCCTCGTCTCTCTCTCTCTCTCTCTCTCTCTCTCTCTCTCTCTCTCTCTCTCTCTCTCTCTCTCTCTCTCACACACACACACACACACACACACACACACCTGTCTCTTATACACATCTAGATGTGTATAAGAGACAGGGTTTCTATTCCACCGACAAGTCAAAGGAAATACATTGAGAACACGCTCACGCTCCTCCCCCTTCTGGTGCGGAGGTCCAAAGGACGGCATTGATTACTTCCCTCAGGAAGGATATACCACCCCTCACCCCTGCCTAAGTTAGCCTGCAGTCCTTTTCTCCTACCTTTTGCTGATCTATTGCTTCGTTTACTCTGATACTCGAAACTAGACTCTTTTTGTTCCAACCAGCCCGTTCCTCTCAGCTCCTCGGCTGTCTGATTTTCTCCTCGTGCTAGAACTGCTGATATGGACGCCTGTGGTGCTGATCTGTATGAGCTGTGTTCAATATCGCAACAGCAAACAACTTGATATCCCCACCAAAACAGAAAACAACGACTTGCTATACAGCCATACTTGTGCAGGCGCTGTGTTCAAATCCGGCTTTCCCGACACTTACCTGTCTCCCCACCCGTCTGCTCATTTAGGCAAGATCGCAACAGCAAACAACTCGATATCCCGCTTTCCCGACAACTACCTGCCTCCCCACCCGTCTGATTGTTTCTCCCCTCTCTCTCGCATATGCACACAAACATACGTACCATTGCAACCATGCACAGACATATCCCTTTCTTGCCAATGACCCTCTCTTTTTTTTACCATCTGGAGAACAAATCTATGGAAAAAAGGCAAAATAAACAACTGTGCAAGGAACCCGACTGAATTTCACTTGCTGGAGTGTACCAGATAGCATGCATGTAATACAGATCACACAGATTGCATTGACTCACACGAAGTACAATGAAAGATGAGTGGTCACCAAAAAGCGCAACTCAATTTTCACAACCAAATTAAGTACAGAGAATCACGAGTTCAAATGTATAGCGCTCAACAGAAATAAGTCTTCTTCATCCAACATGAGTTCCTGGCCTGGCGTTCAACCTGTCTCTTATACACATCTAGATGTGTATAAGAGACAGGACCACAGAGAATATCACCACGAGGTGATCGGCATGGGGGTGAAATGCACTCATGTCGATCACCCTTTTTTTTTTTTTTTTTTGGAATCTCCCCGGCCGGTGCTAGGTGTGCCGAATCTGCCGATAGAGTCCTGCTGGATGCAATAGTAGTAATGCTCTGTTCTGACTGGCGAGGTGCCTGTTGATCCCTCAACAGGAAGGAAGCCCTCATGTGTATGGTCCTGGCTCCTATATGCCAGAGACCACCTGACTACCAACCACCCTACCTACTTCACCCGAATACAACGTCCAGACCGGTCAGATCATTATAACTGTATTTGGTGCAGCTTTCAGTCCAGATACGGCGATAATTACCGGGCTTTCTATCCAGGTCAATACGGTAGGTTCACAACTGTGAGTTACAGAGCCTACTGTGCAGGAGGCTAATGGTTAGCAGACTCTACCGCCTTCGCCCGAATAGAACGCCTGGTACCCGTTCTCCAAACTTATCAAACTTTACAGCTATTGAAAGAAAAAGATTGAAAGAAAAAGAAGAAAGGAGGGAAAGCGTTCTGTAGCTTCTGCTCGTCAGCTAGTGATGGCGTCATGAGGGCAAACTGGCACTGCCATAGCTACTTAATACTTATTGCTGTCTAGAGAATGAGAGCATACTAAGTTATTACTAACACTAGTAGGTAATAAATTTCACCTTATCTACAGTGGATCAGCCAATCTCGCAGCAGCGCCACGGCTGTCGAATTTGGCACAAGAGCTGTATTACCAAATGGGTGGCCTGGGTTGCCTCAGATTGTCCCGGGTGGCCCGGCCGGGCCAGGGCAGGGCAGGGCAAAGTCCCGGTCAAGGTCCCCGGCAGTCCCAAGTAAAAAAAATATATGTCATGGAGAATCGCAAACCAAACATTGTTGCCTGAGAATGACCACAAAATTCGCTATGGACAAGGATGACACGCATAAATCGAGGAAGGGTCCGATAAAAAAAAAAAAAGAAGAAAAAAACAAAAAAAAACTAAATTATATCATACGGCTTTGCAAGGAATACAATAGACAGAAATCCAGATTGTAAAATCACGAACTAGCACAGATAGTCATGTACCAAGCAAAGAGCACAATGCACCAAGATATCATCCAAAAATAAGAGCAATACAATGAACGTGTGTGCCAATGTCGACGCCCTCTGGCCACACCAACACAGTATCCAATGTCGCTGCTACTGTATGGCGCCCAGCGCCCAGCCTACTCTACTCAGTCTATCTACACCTATCTACGTTCTTGAAGCCAGATCACATCGAAGTTGAAGACCAATGTGTGTGACGTCATCACCAATGCCGACGGCCAGCATACACCAGGTACGGTCTCTCTCCTCCCATCATCACACCCTGTCTCCTCTCTTCTTGCGCCTCCTACCTGAAGACCATCATCGCCATCACCTGCTGCTGCACGCTCGGCCCGGCTATGGTCGACGTGCGCCCGCTGCCACCGCAGCGCCCTCTCACCTCTTGCGCCCGCGTGCGCCCTGGCCTGCCTGCTGAGCGCAGTGTTGCATGGCGTAGCAGCAGCGTGGCCGCATTGCCTGCTCAGGCCAGGATGCCACTGCCTGGGCAGGGCACTTTCCTTTATGGAAAGTGCGACCCTGTTTCTGGCTGCGTGGGCCTGGCTGGGCCGCTTTCCAGTAGCTTCCAGTCGGGCCCCAGTGTCTGCGCCCAGGCCTCTCTTTGCTGTTACGGGCCTGGGCTCTTTGCAGTTGGGCACGTCCAGGCTGCCCTCCAGGCTCCAAATGGTTGCTGCATTCTCATTGGCTCGCGGTCGATGTATGACGACAATGCTGCATTCTCATTGGCCCGTGGCCTCTGCATGATGTGTGGGCCTCCCACTGCATCTGCCCAGTCCGCAACTACCTGAGCCCTGGGCTCAACTGTACGTTGCAGCTGCTTCTTCTGGAAAGAGCCAGGAGAGGCTCACGTTGCTCTGTAACCAACTGGCGTATGTAAACTGTCTGATACCCCACTTACAAAAAACAAATGTCGTAAATACTAAATACTAAATAGGCCTCACGTGGATGTACATGCCTGCCTTCACTTAGCGCGGGCAAGAGGTTTGCTGGGGCACGCAGCCCAGAACATTTACATGCCCGAGAAGGGCCTAGCGAGGGCTCATTCCTCACATATTCATACCCCTTTACGTCCCTTTAAGCCCCTTCGAGCCTTTTCAAACCCTGCTTATACCCCATAGACACCATTTGGTGAGATATCACCAAACTCAAAGAACACGCCGGATTTGGGCATGTCTCAGTGGGCGCAAAATTGCCCCACTGCCAAAAAATAAAATAAAAAAATTGACCCCCTTTTTGGTGTCGCCTGGGTACCACAGGCGGGTCACCCCCGTGCAAGTTCACCGAGGTCGCCCGGCCGGTACTCTCATAACGTGGTACACGAGGGCAATATTCTGCTAAAAAGAGCGTAAAACACAGAGAAAAATACAGTAACTAAGGTTACCAGGGGCGCCCAACCGGGCAGGTCGCCCGACCATCTGCCTACCCGGGCCCGAGCAATCAACAACTCGGGGAATTTTTTTTCCCCTTTTTCGACGGTTGGGCTTGTCTGTGCCCACGGAAAGTAGGCCAAATCCGGGCTCTTTTCATTTTTCAATGTTGTCTGTCGAGGGGGGGGGGGRGGGGGGTATGAAGGGGGTGATAAACGGGGCTTAGAGAGGCTTAAAGTGGGGGGTGCCTCAGTTTCTTTTTTTTTTTCTTTTTTTTTTTACAGAAAGGCAAATCGATTCTGGGGGGCATCAGTCCGGTCGCTCATCACCGGCAAGCCAAAAATACACGAGAGGCAGTTGGAGAGGAAAAGAAAGAGTAGATCAGACGAGAATCAGATACAGCCACCCTTGCAGCTCTAGTCGCTTACACAAGGGGGGGGGTTGGTTCGGCCGCTCTTCCCCCAAACCATGACTCATTTGCAAGGTGCACTTGCTGGCCAGGAAGCTTACTGGCAGCACCCAGACACACAGCATGTGGAAATGGCGGGGCGCAGAGGATAGCCGCCCGGCAGCCTCACCGGCCGGTCAATGTCACAAATCCCAACTGAATATACATTTCTCAGTCGTTGTCCCTACCTTCTACTCAATGATACTATCTGAGCCTATCTCACTGTTTCCTTACCGTTTGCTTGACATTCAGATACTTTGCCTACTGCCTACTTTGCTACTAGCCTACTACAAACTACAATATATTGTATGCCTCATGCTTGGCCTCGCATTGTGTGCCCATTCCTTACCTTGGGCTATGCCCCTAATACGCACGAGCTCCCTTGGTTCATTACAGTCGGTGTATCGTACCCTGGCTTTTTCATTACAGCTTTGTCTCCCTTTCCACCCTCCCCCTCCCCTCACACATACTTGTACACCCACCCACCCCCACTTTCTTCCTATCCTATCCCCGTCCCTCTCTTTGCGTGCCTACCCTACTTATTCTATCCTATCCTCGTCCATTCCCACTAATCTTCCAAACCTCTATGTTACACATCGGTCCCCGCTTGACATGTTCGTCGCAGCAACAGAGACCCAAATAAAATTCGGCCCGACTGGGGGTCTGGTACCAGCAGCTGTGGATACTGGTTCCACCTCCTCCAAAAGCGGTCCTTTCCTTCTCCTGCTCGGTCACACCAACGGAAGTATGCCTGAATGGCCACTCGAATATTTTCCATCGCTTGTCCCTGATATGCCTGCAGGGTGGTGGCCGTACCCTGTCTGCATCGCTCGTTTCTCAGGGTCCAGATGGTCCATATTAGACTATTAGTGCTGCTCTCACAGTTTCCATTGCCAGCTGATTCTCCGGCTGCAATCTATTTGCCCTCATCAAGGTTCCCAGGAGAATGAGCACCATGTCTGTTTCTGCTACTTCCAACGGGGTGTGATCTGCTATTTGCGCCCATCACGTCCAGAAGGCCCGGATTACCGTGCATTGCACGAATAGGTGGGGTATGGTCTCCACCTCTCCACATCCTGCCGTGCGTTGTTGCTTCTTATGGCGGCTTCTGAGTGCCAGCCTCAGTTTCATTGTTCTTATTTTCTTTTTTTTAATCCTCAATTCAGTAAGGTGACCCTCAGCCAAAAGTGGTTTGCATTGCAATTGCCAATTTTACACAACAATGACAACATAGTTTTTTTGTTTTTGAAAAACATAGTTTTTTTTTTTTTTTTTTTCAAAAAAAAAAGAACTTTTATTTTGCACTGGGGCTGCCCTGTACCCCGCCAAGAGGTCCTGCCACGCTGCGCGGCTGGGCGTGTGGTCGGGAACAAAATTAGTGCCTGGGAGCACGGAAAAACAGCGCAGGCAATAAATTAAAAATAGGCTAACAGTGAGACAACGCTGTAAGGAAAAACCCTCACCTTGTTCGCCTGTGAAGAGGTTAAATTGCGCATTTGCTTGACGGACGAACATCTCCAAGCCACTGACGATGGTCGCACCTACACTCTTCGCCTCCCGCAATAATCGGGTCTCCAAAGGGTTGTATATAGCATCAAAAACAAGTCCGTAACCCTTGAGAGCCCCCTGCCAGAAGAAGTTCAGGACAAACAATACATGGTCACTAAATTACCTATCCTGAGTCTTTTTTTAAGTTTTTTTCCTTTCTTTTTTCCGTCCTGGGCAAGAAATGATCAGAGGGGACAAGCCAGCAGATCAATTGAACAACCAAGGCTCTGTTGGGTGCTGCCCACTCTTTCCTTTTTGTGTGTGTGTTGGCTTCCTCACAGGTTCCCTGAGAACATTATATTATATATAGCACACAGAGAGAGTATCGACCGCATTGTACTCAATCATCAATTGACATCAATCAACAAGTACACAGTTTGAAACCTGTTGAACACACACACACACACACACACACACACACACACACACACACACACTGGGGCATGGGGCTGTCATGCAGCAGCGTTAGTGCTGCAGCGGTGAGCGCATCGCAGCAGTGGTAGCACGGTGGTGACCCAGTGGCAACCTTGAGGGCATCGATACTTGGCTGATCTGGGACGTTGGGCCTGTAGAACCAGGCCGACCATCCAGATCTACACGTGATCCTAAACTCGTTAGATCGTACGACGATCCAGGCTGTTGGACCTGCAGGGGCCAACAACCCAGGTTGAAGATTTGTTACGTCAGTCCAATCATCCGGCCCGTGCCCCAGTAGTACTCGGGACAGTCCAGATTCAAGATTTGTTAAATTATCGTTTTTCTTAGTGTGGGGAAAATACTATTCAAAATAGTAAAATACTAAAGAGGATTGGGTTATGAGACCTTATGACTCTTAAATGCCCAGGGCCAGGAAGTGGCAATGTCGCCAGTTCAATCTCATCCGATTGTGAAACAAACAAACCGTGCCCACTATCAGCTGATAGGTAATTGCAACTTAGCGCCCACCCTCACCCAGCACTCCACGACACACATCTTGCACCACATGTGAAAACGCTGCTGCAGGGCTTCAGCATTGCAGCAGCAGAGTATGTCAAGCTAACATGTAAAAAAAAATCCTCTCTTTCGGTCTCCTCTTGCAGAGTTCTTTTCAAAACCGTTGATAAACAGATAGTGATTTCAAATCCTGATTGCTAGGGGCTACTCCCCTCTTCAAGAAAGAAACAAAAGAGAGAAAGAGAGAGAGAGGAGGGACCACGGGGGGGGGGGAAGGGAGGGGAGGGAAGGGAAGAAATACTCATACCACAGGAACCGGAGTTTCCTCCACGTTGGGTACCATTCCAACGGACGTTGTGTTCACCAGCACCGGTTCTTTGTCCTGAAGGTCGCTATGCTGTGCCCGGACCTTCTCCAGCAAGCGCTCAACTGCACCGTCCTCGCAAACTTCACTAAGCGGTACGGCGATTGCACCCTGACGAATCGCCAGCTCAACAGCTCTCCCTGCATGTGGAGCAGTAAATGACATAATTGTCGCCAATTCCAATCGGTGTTCAGGTCTATTTGCAATACGAATTCCGAAAGCAAATGCAAAGCGCTGAGTGCAGACAAACAGACAAATTCAGAAAAAGCCCGCAAAAAGGAATGTGCCCATGTGGGTGGATGGCACACGCGTATAACTGTTGATGTACAGAGCATGTGTTCGGATCCTAACCAAATCAGCTGGACAAAGGAATGTGGCAAGAGGTGCCATAAACAAGGGAGGAAACTGGTCACCAAGCCCATGTGCCTCAATTGTGCACACATGTACCTGTTAATAAAATTATAAAACAGATTTTTAGTTTCAATCCTGATGGAATCAGATCAGACGAATATAATAATATTGCGGGATACCCCAGGTCCCGGGCAAGGTCCCGGGCAAGGTCCCGGGCCGGCCGCAGCAGAAAACTGAAAAGAAATGAAAAATCTAAGAGGGTCAAAAGACCGAAAATCTGGGAAAAGTATATGCTCTGTAGAATACTAGAATTGCAATACAAAGTATTACAAAGTAATACAAACTACTTTTGGCTGAGGAATACTTCGGATTCCGATATTGAACCGCAGCCTCCACAGGTAGAAGACTTAAGTAAGAAAATCAAACCAAGCTACTACTACCCTCGTTTAGAGTCTTTAGAGTCTAGACCCCATTTTAACTCCTGAGCCCCCACCCAAAACATCGGAGAACAGAAAAAAGAGCCCAGGTTCGGTCTTATCTCATTGGGTGCAGAAATGCCCCAATGCCAATGGCGATTAACAAAAAAGACAAAAGAAATCCTGATACATAACACATGTTCTATACTTCATTTAGACCTACACAGGACATGGACATGGCCTGGGGAAGGAAGGGGGATGCCAGACGACTTTCTCCTAATTACATCTGTGTGATTCCGTAGTGAACAGCTCACAACATCCACAGCATGCAAGTATCTCATGACGCTCAATGATTGAGGATCACAAAGAGATAGGAGCAAGACAAGACTCTAGAAAAAGGAGGAGAAGAACACGAGGCAGCAGCTAGTTTCCGACAATAGTGAATGATGTTTCTCCTTCCCCCTTCAGCCTCCAGGCTTCTTCTTGCCACCTCGCCACCATCAACCTATCCCTCTACTAAACATGAAGTCGATGTCTCTCACGAGGACCTTGTCAATCTCCAATGAGTATCACTTGGACGCAATGAAGAATAACACCAGACCACTAAATGTCGGCCTTCAAAGCAAAGCGCTGTCTCTCCAAACACACAATCACCACCTGGTGAGTCTAGGTCAGCGTCTCTCTCTCTCTCTCTCTCTCTCTCTCTCTCTCTCTCTCTCTCTCTCTCTCTCTCTCTCTCTCTCTCTCTCTCTCTCTCTC